TATGTAAATTTGTGTTCAGAACTAGTGATTACTGCATATACGTGGTTTACCAAAAGCCTCCCCAACCATCTTTACTTGCTTAGATGTGGCATGAATTAGATCTTCGGTGGTACAGAAGTCTGGATGACAATCAACACTGTAGCAATAAATAGATTCATATAGTTTTAATTGTGTGCAGTTGGTGCACATAAATGTTTGCTACTGTAGCAGGTGAAGCATGAAAACTGGTACACTGGGGCAAACAAAAAATAGAAACAAAACAAACTCATAAACCCCCTATCTGCAGCACCAAAACAACATATATCAGCACCTTAATACATTGAGACTGCACATTGCATTGCCAATAGGCTTGTATTGATAAAGAGAGAGAAAGGGACCAAAAAAAAGAACTGAAAAATGAACTTGATATTGTGAACAGGAGTTGCTAAGTGTTGGGCCAAATTACAAGCACTTGGGATTGCTCCCAGGTCCACCATAGTAGAAGTAGGTGCCCCATTCAGAGCTGGAAGAGCTCTTGATGTCATAGCAATTTGGGTTTTCAGCAAGTGTAGTGATAGACTGAACAGGACTCAGGCTATTATCAGCATCAACAATCTCAAGGTTGCGAAAATAGCTGGACCGAGTGAAACCCTCCTCGGCGAACCGACCCGAACCCATTTGAGTCGATGTGTGCTTGCCATCGGAACGAGTGTTGACAACCTCACCACCCCACTCCACCATTGTTGCTCTATCTGTTAAGTGAGTGAACAGCTCTGCTGGCCAGTAGCCAACCAGCAAATCGTCACCAAAGCTCATCCACCAGTTTCCCAGCTTTGGATCCTGAAAGTCATAATGTGTGAGGCAGGCTAATTAGTTAATATTATGTCACTAGATTCGACATTTTTATAGGTTACCTTCCAAATAAGAATGCTGATCTCAAATTGATTGCCATCAAACGATGAGATCGGAGATATCGAAGCTCCAATGGCTATCTTATTGTTAGTTTGTATGAATCCAGAGCAGAGGAGGTTGTAGCATCCTGTCACTTGGTAGGCATCACTCTAAAGCAGCAAAAGCAATGACAATATTTGAATAAATAATGGTCATTTCAAAAATTTTGTTGGATATGTTGAGAAGTAGGAAGTTCTTCAAGGGATAATCTAGAGAAATTGCTCGGTACGGATATCGGGCATAGAGAATCATTCGGATTTTTAATAACTGTATTTTTCCTGTAGACAGAGAGAAATCCGGATGATTCTCTCTACCCATATCCGTGCCTAATAATTTGCTGATAATCTACCCTTGAAGAGAAAGAGAAGAGATCTCACCGTCCAGTAAGTGAAGAACCTGGGTCTGCTGTCTCCATAAAGCTCAGGGCTGACCTGACTAGAAAAAAATACAAGGCTTCAGAACATTCAACACAATAATTACATTTGCAGAGCTGCAGAAAATGATATTTGAGTAAATATTATGAAAGTGGCGGGCACAAATGCAATTAATCCTTGCTAATCTTGTGTTTAATAGCAGCTGATCTGGCCACCATCATAATGTGCTGTTCTCTTCAATTTGAGTGGTTCTAACTTGATTACTATGCATTCTGTCATTGTGTGCCAGCATATAATTATAAATAATTAATTTTTTCAGCTTTTTTAGAATTCTCAGATTATTATATATATTTTATATGAGAGCTTTCAAATATTTTTAATTGAGATTTTTCATTTGGGTCTTCTGTTATTTTGATAATTTTTAATAAATATGTATTGACTCTCATGTTTTGAGCAAATTTATGATAGTTTTTTTTTTTTTTTGAAATTAAGTATTTGTCCTCCTTAATATTTAAATTTAATAATTATAGAGAATGGAGATGAAATAGAGATTTGGATCATCAAGTGGGTCATATTTTTCATTAAAAAATTATTTCATGATATTTTAAGATAAATTTTATTAAAACTAATTTAAAATTATTAAAAATAATGTAATATAAATTTTTTATGTATAGTAATAATTTCGAAATAAATTTTAACTTTTAATGACAAGTTTTTTTAGATAAATTTACCATATAAATCCAGTGGGCCCCACTGCTGTCAATGAGAAATTATTAAAAATTATTGCGGACGCTAATTTAGGAACAGCCACTTATTCTACCAACAAACTTTGCATCCAATTAAATGGAAAGTGGGCCCAATGCAAAGTGCTTAAGGAAGTGCTCCTCCATTGAGGCCTTTTGCAAAGACTTAAACTTTAATTCAGCATGTGCCTAAATGTCAACCATAGTGTGACCTCCAAAGTTATTTTATATTAGGAGTGTTAAGAATCTCACTAAAGTATTAAAGCTCATTAAAAATAAAATACAAGTACCAAAGTTTTCATTTAAATTGTGCTTTTTAATTAAAAAATAATGAAAATAAAATGTTGATCGAATTTAACTACCTAACAAATTTATTTAATATATATGTGTGAGAGCTATGAAATTGTATCATAAGAACTTTTTTTTATTTTGGGAGAATTAAGGGAGTGCTCGGACTTTCACACAATACATATGTTTGACTCGAACTCGAAATCTCTTAGTTGGTAGACAAAATACTCAACAAACAGATTGAGAAGAGCTGCGTAGAACCATAAGAACTCTAATTCAGGCAAACTTGTAATAAAGCTAAGCTTATAAGACTAATCCAAGGAATGAACTGATCCAAATCTAAATGAGCCCATATTAAGTATTTGAATCATAATTAAAAAAATTTAGCTATTAATGCATAGCATAGTCAAATAGAGCCAGGCTTCGTTTGTGATAGATTTCTTTTTGTTTTATAAATCATTTTTTAAGTCATGTTGAAAAAAATTGTTATATCAAAAGCTAATTTAGAAAGCTGTAAAAAAGTTGTCACAAACGAAGTCTAACTCAATGAAATGAATTAATAAGCCTAAGATTGTTTAATTCTAGCAACATTACGACACTTAAAAATCAAACAATGATATATAATTAGGGGATTCAATACACGCTTTTTGAAGAATTGAAATTTTGGTTATATTCACATATTATGCTAGTCTAAAAAATCATAAATAAATCTACACTCGCTGTTTGAAGAAGACTCTTAGCTTGAGATTCAAGTAAGTTTGGAAGCTTGAAGAAGTTGATTTTACCAGATGATAAATACTAATGAAATCAATTTAACTAGGTCATATCTCTTGATTTTCACATTTCAAATTTGTTTTACATAAATTTTGATGTCTATTGTAATCATCTTTTAATTGTATGTATGTTATATCTACGTACAATACTAAAATGTGAAGCTCTATCAATTACTATAAATATTCATAAAAAAATTTATATTATTATTTATTGCAATTAATACCTTTATATTATATTTAACGATTATCACGCTTGGAAAATGATTTTTTGCTAATCTGATGCCTCTAGATCTTATTTTTCAATGCTCATATTTAGGTAGAAATATATTGTATGTATAATAGATCTACGTACAATACTAAAAAGTGAAGCTCTATCAATTACTATAAATATTCATAAAAAAAATTATATTATTGTTTATTGCAATTAATACCTTTATATTATATTTAACAATTATCAAGCTTGGAAAATGATTTTTTGCCAATCTTATGCCATTAGATCTTATTTCTCAATGCTCATATTTAGGTAGAAATATTTATTTAAAAAATTAATTTTTGTGTCATGCAACTTACTCTGAAATTAATTTATTATTATTTAAAAAACATGTCAGAATATTTTAGTATAAATTATATAAAAAGAGTTTAAAAATAGTAAACATGATGCCAAATAAGAAAGATTTTTTAAAATAAAAAAAATTTATATTAAAATAACTTGAACAAATAAATAAGCCTATATTTTTTATTAATATTTGTAGCCATCAATTACGATATTGCAGATTTTAAAATCCCAAAAATAGAAAATAAAATGAATTCGATAATTACATAAAAGTACCTGCCATCCGGCTTCGATGCTATTAAGATCAGAGCCGTCAAAAGAGCCGGATAAGACCCAAATCTGCGATAAGCTGAACTCGTTCCCGACCTGAATGGACGGCTCCCATACGTTGATCGTTGCCTTCGCTCCGTACAATTCTTGGTCGGTTCCC